ACATCTTTTAATCTTCTGCGAGAGATTAGCATGTAATCTATCTGTGTTTTCCTAGTACCACTTTCATATGTTATTAAATGACTATCTTTTTTCCTATAGTAGGTGTTGGTTAAGGCAAGGTCGAAGGCTTGCGCAAATTTCAGTACGTGCTCTCCTTCATCATTTCTTTCTCCGTATCCAAAACCACCATGATGCCTTTTGTAGCTATCTCTTGCTTTCCCCACATGCGCATTTAAGTCACCACCAATTATGACTAGGTCATCCTTAGGGATTTCCATTACGGCTTCATCAAGGATAGCTCTAAAGTCATCTTTCTCTTCTTCCTTGCAACCCGTTTGAGGAGCATATACTGATAGGATGTGTAGTATTGATTGACCAATGCAGAGTTTTATCTTCATTAGTCTATCAGAGATCCTGTTGACTTCTACAACTGAGGAGGTTAGATCTTGACTGAGGATGATGCCGACACCGTTCCTATTGCTAACAAGTCCATTATAGTACAATTTATACCCATCTCCAATCATCAAAGTCTTCTGTCCTTTCCATTTCGTCTCTTGTATGCACGCTATATCAACTTTTCTCCTGTTCAACATTGATGCCAATTCTCTCGTCTTACCTTTAAGCGTCCCAATATTCAAACTTGCCAGTCTTGTCTTCTTTGCTTTGACCTTTACTTTATTTTTCACAGGATGGAGGTCTACACCCTGCGCGTCGCATGGAGGGAACGCCCTAGCTTTCATATTCATATTTTCATTTGTGTCCTTCATTTTGTTTATTGGACAGGTATCCTTAGCACCCGGCTGTCCAGGCCTGTCGGTGACCGGGGTGTCATCTCTAAGCTCCGAAATTCATCATACCATATGTCTTTACACATCAGTCATCGAAGAAAAACTTGAAAGTTTTTATGGTTCTTACCAGGATTGAACCCGCGTCCTTGTTCATGCTCGTGTTTCCAAGCCTACATCTTACCCATTAGGCCACCCCGGCGATACGATACTCGGAAAATATTCTTAATTAATTTGAAAATGGTATTTGTTTTAAAAAGTTCCTTTTTAAAAAATTCATAGGAAAAGTTTCAATCGCTTAAAAAGCGTTCCAATCAATAAGGAAAAGTAAATATGTAAACAAAAATTATTTCGATATATAGACGTTTAATTATATTAAGTATATAGTCAATTAGGTAGGTAATAATTCTATTTTTTCAGCAATCAGTCTTTTATATAAAATTAAAAATAGGACATAAATTACGTCAGCTGAAGTCAGAATTAATAAAACTATCGTTCGTCCGAGGAAAATATCATGTTAAAAAATTTTGTCATTATTAACCATGTGATTTATTAACGCCATCTATTTTTTAAATCTTTTAAATGATAATTTATTTTTATTGTGAAATACAATATATAAAGCTAAGATTAGAAAAAAATAATTGAATAATTTACTCAATTTTTTTTAACAAATAAAACTTTATGATAATTTTTTATTAAAAAAATATGTTATTTTCAATTTAAAATTTAGAATATTATTTTTTAAGTTTTTCTAATCTAAGTTTCATTCTTATATAATATTATTACAAATCTAAATCTTATTCTTTCATAAATTGATAATTTTTTTCTAATATTAAGGAAAGATATCACGAAAATATAATCTAAGGATAAGACTAGGGATGTACCCATATTTTTTATTCTGATCGGGCCAATATTTCTTCCATTTTAAAATATCGGTTATCGGTCAATAGTATAAAATTTTTGGACCCGATAAAATGGCGTCTTAATTTAAAAAAAAATTATTTTTAATTACATAATAGATTTGTTTATTAATTATTATGTAAATAGATTTATGTTATTATTAAATAAGTGATTCATCAATAAAAATATTTTATATGCTTTTAGATTCTTGAATATAAACTATAACTGATCATTATAATATGTTTATGTTACTTATGTTATGGTGTATAATTAAATTATAGATGTCATACAATTAAAAAGTATATGAGATGAGTAGATGTATATAGTGAAAAAAAATCGGTCCATTTAAACAAATTTTTAAAAGCGGTTAACTCAAATATTTTAGCCAGAAAAATATTGCCTAAGCCTCAAGATTTAGTTAATAAATGTCCAAATCTTTGTGCCATCTATAAGCGAAATCTTCAGGTTTGTGTAAAATCTGGATAAAATACTGAGTTAGCCGTCAAATGGAGCAATTTTGCAACATTAATTAAAAATTAAAATGATGCATGTTTAAAGAATACAAAATCAGATATAATAACGGATCAGTAATCGTCCGATATTAATTTTATAGAAGAAATGTCGGGTCAGCCTCCAAAAAGTGGTATCGGTACATCCTTAATATATATATTAAGTTTATAATTATTAAATAATTGTGTTAACAATTTTTAATCATATTGCTATATTAATTTTTTTATAAATGTTTTATATGTGTTGCATTATGCAAATGATTATTTTTAATATTTAAGCAAAAAAGAAAATATACTTGATATGAAATAAGTTAAAACATGGATGATCATTCAAAATTAAGAAATGTATCATAATTATATGAACAACAAGTATAGAAATTATATTTTGTAATATTATTATTCAAATTGAAAAGATTCTATTTTATGCATAGATATATAAAGCATGAAAAAAATCAGAAAATATTAATATAATTTTCTTATATAAGAAATTGTTAATTTAAAATAATTTTATTAATCGATTGTATTTTACATTAATTCATTATATATTATCTTTAAATAAATCAATTATTCTCAACCTCGTAGTCCTTCTCTAACACCCACGACTCTTAAAAGTGGTGCCAGAGAGAGGAAAATATAAAATAAAATTGAACCAGGTAGGAAAAGTTCACAAAGGAAAATTTAAGGTAAAAAATATTATAAATCAATGAAATATTTATGTTATAGGGTATTATTAATAATTATAGTTTATATATATTCGTTTAATGTCAGTAGAATAATTAAACTTTTTTTAATTAAATTTTTATTAAGTACTCTGTAATGTATATTGCACAGATAAATATGTGGAATTTTTTAACATTTTGTAAATAGTTCTTGTTTTGATGTTTTTAGTTTTTGCATTAAATACAACAGTAGGAAGATTTACGGCTTATATTAAAATAGATAGTAAAGAAGTAGAAAAATTGGGGAATTTAATAAGAGAAAAAGATAAGACAAGACCTATAGATAATTACCGACAGATAAGGTGCTATAGTTGTGGTCAGCCGGGTCACATGTCGTGACAGTGTGAATTAACCAAAAAATTTAAAATGTGCGAGATGTGGCAAGAATGGTCATGTAGCAATAAGATGTAGAATGAATAATTTGATCATGAGATGTACTTAGTGGTCAAGAAGGACACACACAGGAAAGGTGTAAGAATTGACTAGAAAAGAATTTTGATTTTTATGATAATTTTGTTAATAAATTTTTTTTAATTTTGTTAATTATAAATCATGTAATAATAATAGAAGTAGAGATAAGATGAGAGATATAAAGTGTAAATTTTGAAATATATAGAACAAATAATATGATTGATGAAGAGGTACGAAATATAGAATTAGAAGGTTTTTTAAAGAGGAATATGCCCGAGAATTAATATAAAAATTAAGGAAATAGAAATATGTTTTTTATTGGATATAAGAGCGGAGATTAGTCTGATGAGTATAAAGGATTTCAATAAATTTTGGCAAGAAGAAGAATTTGTTGTAAGAAAAATAGGAGACAAACAATTAGATGGTAGCATTGTGAAAATTTTAGATTATAGGATAATGTTGCCTGGAATTAATAAAGATATAACTTTACGGATAACTACTTTAAAGATCGAGCCAATTTTAGGTTGGTGTGACATAAAAACGATAGGTCCTATTTATAATTGGTGGAATTTTTTTAAAACAGTTTTTGAAATTAATGATACAAATAGCAATATAATAAAGAGTGATTTTGATAAAATTAAGTTACCTATGATAAAAGATAAAAACAAGATGTAGTTCTTGATAAACTTAGAAATCGATCTCCAGAAATTTTGATTAGATATAGAGACAGAGAATAAAGTATGAAAAGATATTAAATTAATAGAGGTAACATCAGCTGAAATCAAAAAACTGATAATGGTGAATAAAGTAGAACAGGATGAGACTGTTGAAGAGAAATATAATAAGTACAAGGAAGTTTTTAAAAATTAGGTACTCTAAAAAATGTTGAAACAGATATAAAGTTATTAGAAAATTACCAGGCTAAATTTTGTGGATTAAGAAGATTACCGTTTTCTTGGATAGAAGAAATTGATAAGGAATTAAATAAATGGTTATAAGAAGGTATAATACGGCCAATAGTGCATAGTGAATGGGCCACACCATTAGTCCCCATAAGAAAACCAGATAATAGCTTAAGTTTATGCTTAGATTATAGAATTTCATTAAACCCTTGGATTATCACAGTAAGGTATCCTTTATCGAGAACAGAAGAATCATGGGGAAATTTTTATTATTATTATTTTTTTATTAATATTTTTTTTTTTTATTCTTTAATTTCACAATAAAAACAAGACGTGTTCTATGAAGCTATTAAGTTAGGACTATTAAATCAGATACTAAATTATTAATCAATTTTTTTTTGTTCAGAGAAGAAATAGTTATTTTTAGATTTATAAATTTAAAGTAAGCACATAAAATTAAATATAATTTAATTGATACTCATATATATATAATATTGTTTTCAGTTATTATAATTTTATTAAAATTATATCACAAAAATTACAAACAATAAAATAGTTAGGACTATCCATTAACATTAAGACATTTTAATTTATATTGGTTCTTTTCAAATTTGAGTTGATACTTTTTAAGAAAGCCCCCAAGACCAAAGTGTGATAGTTTTCAGCTAAAAACTTGATTTAGCCAATTTTTAGACGAATTAGCTTAAATAGCTAAAATATAGTAATTACCAAACTTTACACCTAATTTATAAATATAAAACATGTTTTTTAAACCTATTTTAAATGTTTTTGATTCATTAAATTTTTCTTCTACAATGCTTAAAATAATTTCATGATTTTGGGGACTAGTTTTACAAGTTTCAGAATTTTCATTTGGGATATTTTTGACATCAGTAATTTGTTCAAATATGGATGTTTCATATATCGATGAATTAATGTCCAAATCTTGTTTGATAATTTGTTCTGAGTGAGTATTATTTTTATTATCTTCATATAATAATTTTGATATAGGACCTAAATCCTTATACTTTTCAGGAAAATTTATTTGTTTGTTTATATCATCTACATTTTCAGATCTTATATTTGAAAAGATGTTAAAAATTAGATAGCATATACTTATTAATACTTTTCTTGATATATTGGTTCAATAACTGAAACAATCAATAAGTTCTATATAATTAGAAAGCATATTAAATATATTTCACATTAAGTTGTAAACTTTTTCAAGTCCTCTAATAAATTTATCAATTGATTTATAATTTTTGGTTGGATCAATAATTAATTCAACTATTCTTTGAATAGTAAATGGAGTCCTAAGTTTGAGTAAAAATAAAATCATTAACCTAAGTTTTACCCATCAAGTTCTTGGTAAAGATTCAATAATTGAGACCTCATTTCTTGATAAGACAAATTTTCTAAGAATTTACTATCAATAATTTTGATACTGGGATATTTTAAATAAAATAAATCTAAAGCAGATTCTGTCTTGGAAATAATTAGATTTTTAATCATAGACCATGAAAAGCTTTATATATATAGTAGGGGGGTAATAATTTTTTAATATAATTACTAAGGTATTCCACTTTGGGAAACTAAGTTTAAATATTCATCGAGATTTTTAGTTATAATTTTAGAATCGCTTTCGTTATACTCTATGATAATCATATAATAGAAATGTAAAGCTTAAATTTTACTCTTTAATTCATCTGCAAAACATTCTGACATTTTAACAAATTCCTCCATATCCCGAAATATTATCATTCATTTTTTTGAATGGCATTCTATACAAAATTTTTATTAAATATGGCCTTCTTAAATTTCTTTTTTAAAAAGGAATAAAGTAGTTTATTATAATTTATAATATAGCTAAAGATGAAACAGTTAAACTTCTATTATATCGAAAATTAAAAAAAAAATTTGAACGTATTTTTCCAAACAAATTATATATTTTAAATTCATTAAGTCAAACATTATGTGTTTTTGCTTAACATGCATGGATGGAGGGCTATAACTATTATTTTAGGATAAATTTTTTAAATATTATTTATTAAATGATCTCATATCATTTAGATGTTGATTATAAATAGCATTTACTATAAATTAAATTGATTTTTATATTGGAAGGAAAATTCTAATCATCTTGGGCTATTGAATTTATAAAACAAATGTAGTTCTCTATATTTAAGAATAAAGAAAAAATTTACTGCTCATAAGTGTTCTGAAATTTCTTTATTTGGGGTTACATAGATATGCACAAAAAATTGAGTAGATGTCTCATTGATGGGGGAGGGGGGGGGGGGCTTGACCCTGTTTAGGGCATAGGAAGTATAAGTCGTTTCCCAAGGTTCGGGCATGCATCAAGATTCAATGGTAGCGAGGAAACTAAATGAAGAGAAACGTTCTAAAATTTAATGATAAAATTTGATAAATGGATATAAAATAAGAATAAAACTATATATATTTAGATAAATAGATGTTATATTTGCGAGGAGGGTCGTCACTAGCCAGTGGCGTAGCTACGGGGGTGGTTTTCGGGTTTGGACCCCTCCCAAAGCAAAAATTTATTTTTAGATTATATGTTCAAAAGACTTAAAAGTGACTTTATATCAAATATATGCCATCAATATTTATAATTTTCTGGTTTTGATGTTTGTGGAAGGATATTATATTACTATTGAAATTATTCTGGTAAGTCTTATTATAAAGTCATTGAGAATAATCAACTAATTTATAATAACATATTGATGCATTTAAAAAATATATTTATTATATATTATCGATGGTTATGATTTGTAAGATAAACCCATCCGAAGGTCCTCCCCAAGTCTTTTATATGTATGGACCCTAAGGAAAATTCCTAGCTACGCCACTGTCACTAGCCATTACCTCAGAAAGCTCAAAAAATTCTAAAATTATCTCTCTTTTAAGTAACATTAATTTTTTTTTTAAATTTAAGACCTATTTTTTCTAGTGGTATAAAAAATATTCAAAATTTTGATGACTCTTCAAATTTTTTAGGGAGCTCGAGCCCTTGCGCCCCTCCCCCTTTCCCGGTGATAATACTGTTTTTAGGCTAGAAATAAAAAATTGGTATAGACATATTTCTAAGAAATAACCAACGTGAAAAACAAATCGTCGCCCCTTAGAATTATATTATTCTATCTCCACTTTTTCCAACTTTACAGGAGAGTAAAATTCCTTATCTGTTTTAAATATTAGATATGCTTTCCTTTTTTTTTTAGTTTAAATATATCACTTAGTTTTATAAATACCATGATATATTTTTCAAAAAATCGTTTTATTATTATTCTAAAATTGGAGGAATAAATACCAAATAGTATTTTAAGAAATATTTTTTCTTTAAATTATTTCTTTTTAAATTCAAAAAATATTATTGAATAATAATTATATATGTAAACAAAACAACAGAGTAAAATTTTATTTTACAAATTTAAATATATTTTAATGGTCTGGATAAAAATAAATATATTATTTTAAAAAAATATATATATTCTTTTGTTTTTTGGAACAGTAAAAAATAAACAATCAGTTAAAATAACTTTTAAATCAGTTTACGTTAGACCTGAAAGTGTTTTAAGGTATCATATTTTATTATTTTTTGTAAATGGAATAATATAATTTTAACAATAAGAAAATGGAGATAGAATAATCTTATACTGGCTATAATTAATTTTATATTTTAAAAGTTTAAGATTCTTTTATATATCTTAAATTATATTTATAAAAAAATAATTATTTTTGTGGAATAACCAAATGAATATTTGTCATCTACCTTAATTACATGTTTCCCCATGGTTTGCATTTTTAAAACGATCTTAACATTATTCAGATATTCGGCCAGAGTATCCCCGGGTTAGGTATTCTAAAACTTTATTTCCGTCGATCGAAAAAAAAATCTCATCTCCAAGCATCATGTAATCTCATAAATTCATTAAATACAATGGTAATCAAAATATACCTCCTTTTTTCTGATGAATCTTTTATTCGCTATTCGCCTTCTTTCCTTTGAATAAATTTTTTTTTATTCATCTTATGTTTTTAAAGGCTTAGAGGGTTCGATTCAGTCTCAAAATGATTCCTACGATTTATTAATTCAATTTATTTTTAAATAAAAAGAAATTTATAGATCATTAATTTTGAGTTCAAGAACAAAATTTAAGGAGGTATAAAATAGAAAATGGTATATATATTATATTTATATCGGCAATAAAAAATACATTTTCAAAAAGATTGTTTTTTTCCCGTAATATAAAATAAATTCATATGAAACTATATTTTATTCAGGAGGGGAAAAAAATATAAAATATTTTTAATTTCGTGTATATATATATATATTTGTACAAAATCTTAGTAAATTATCAGGAACTAGGGTATATCAACTCGCAGAATAGAACCGTTGTAATATATTTTTTAAAATAATATTTAAACATTTTTGTGACAAATTTTTCTTCTTCAGTTCTAATTACAAAGCTGCGAGTGGTAAACGAGTACGCTGCTTAGTGCATATAGTGAATGTTATTAAAAAAATTAAACGAATTATATTTATACTAAAATAAAATAATATCATACTAAAATGTTTATAAGGTAATATATTAAATAAAAAATGATATATTATTTAGTGATATACATAATCTAACTCCCTCCCCATCATAGTTAGAAAATTATAGTATTATCTTATTTGAAAGTTATTTACAAAATTATTTAATTTTTTTTGGTACAGATTTATAAAATAATATATATAATAAATATGTGATTTTTTGTATAAAATGATAATTATGTTGTTTTCAACAAGGTGTTTTGGGTATGATAGGCATCGATAATACGTGATAATGACTCTATTTTTATTGAGGAGATTCCGCATGCAGTCTATAATATAAATACATGGCTTATAAATTTTAAGAGCGTTTTAGTTTAAGAAATCTGAGCGTTTGGCGAAAAATTAAAATGATAAATATATCATTATAATTTATAGAATAATATATATGGGATATGGAATCAATGGGTTCGGAAACCCATCCTAGGGATCCGAGATTTTCATTTATTTGGAATCCTTTTTTTAAAAAAATATTATATAAAAATTAATGCTGTAAAGTCGATACCATTCGTTACTAGTTTCGAAAGATAAAGAGTTTTTTTGAGTAAAGGTAATGCAAAACGTTACTTTAAATTCTTCTACTAAAATTTATTCCTTTATTATATTTTTTAGAATTTTATAAATAATTTAAGCCCAGTTTTTAATCAGATCAACCACCAAATACTTCATTTTTATTTTATTTATTAAATTTCTGTTGATAAATTTAATACAATTTAGGATAGTTTTCAATATTACTTTTAAAATTTTCAAAGAGATATAATAAAAAATTTCCATTTATTTTTAGCGATCAAAGAGAAACCATCCTTTGAACCTACTGAACTTGTTGTGTTGAGCTTATCTGATCAAAATTTTGAAAATCAATTATTGTTAAAAAATACAAAAAGAACTTATCTTAATAATATAATATTTTTGTATAATTTAATTTTTTATTATCTATGGGGAAAAAATAAAATAAATAAAAAGAAAGAAAATTTATATAATTATTTAGAAAATGATCAAGTAACGAGTAATGCGCTACTTTTTTTTGAATAGAGAGTAACGTGTTCCATTTTTCAAACATATCGAATTGTTTTTATGAAGTGACGTTTACAGCACTAAAAAAAGATTTCAAATAAAACGTAGGGATTCATAATACCCAGATTCTTGATCCCTATATATAATATATACATATACCTAACCTATATATAATTTATACACTTTAAAATATGGATATTAGGAAATAATTTGACTAGTAAAACACTTGATAAAATTTTTATGTCCAAACTCTCAGAATATTCATATTTTTGAGAAAAGTTATTTTGCAACCCTCGATCTTTTTTAATATTATGCGCTGGAACGCTCTAAAATGGCCGTTGCCTTAGAAAAAAATAATATTAAAAGTGTTTGAAAAAGGGCAACTTATAACTAAATAAAATATCCATATTGATTCCTATTTTTTTTCTAACATGCAAAAGCCAAAAGAATGTAAATACATTGACTCTCTTCGCACATCCTTTTTTCCCCCGTATTTATTTTTAATTATTCTCGCCTATAAACTTATTAATTTATTCTAAAATATATAATTAATTAAATTTACTGAATATTCGATAAATTTGACAAATTTTTTGAGAACGGTAATCATCGGATCAAAAGATTTTGGTTCCGAAGGTGGAAAGTGAGAAGTTATGAGAAGAGTGTTTGCCTAAAAAAATAAGTAATAAAGAAAAAAGTATTCATAATTTAAGGATTGTATTTCTAATTCTAAATTATGCAATATTTAACAACTTCAATATGTTGACTTGTCAGCGTAGTTAAAATTTTAATAAAAGACATTTGGTTTACCCCCCCCCCCCCCCACATCTATTGAAGGGAGCCAGGTTATATTTAAAAAATATTAATTTTAGCTATCTCAACCCTTTTAATTATAGTCATTATTCAAGTAAAAAAGAATATGATATTATTTTAATTGTTCATTTTTTGAGGAATGGATATTACTTAAATATACAAAAACTTGCAATTTGCCAAAAGATGAATTTTCGTGCCCCACCCCCCACTCGATTGACTTGAAGTTGAAATGTATAATATTATGGTTCCTTGTCGGGAACATAAAATTATTTTAAAATGTTTGTTGTGTAATTAAAAAATTAGCATAAAATAAGAAGCAAAATGAATTTATAAAATTATAAACGATATGAATACTATGAGAGCCAAACTTCATTATTATGAACGAGACACCCCAAAAAGAGAGCTATGTAAGACGCCACTAAGCTGTATTCCATGTGTTCGCCCGCCTTGTGCAGAACTGAAAAGATAGAATGTTTTGTGTTTATTAGTTTTTTAAATTTATTCCTTTTTTCCTTACATTCTTTCGTATGCTTTAAATAATAGTGTCTTTTCTCTCTTTTTGGTTTAAATAAGTTTTAGTTAAAGGTTAATAAAACAAAAAAAACCAAATAACAATGTAATTAAGTTTATCTTTAAATATCGTCGCAAAACCTCATAAGCGGTATTTTTTTAGGTTTTTTATTGTACAAATATGTATTAAATGTCCTCTATGATCACCTAAAAGCTTGATCAAAATAACTATCAGAAACATGTTTTCTGTCTCTGAGCTCATAGGACCACCTCCAAAAATGTCCATAATTTAATATCTATGAGATCATGAGGCATACAAATAAAATTGTTTCATATATTAATTAATGGAAACATGTTTAATTTTATGATTGCTAAATTTTCTTATTTAAAATTGAGCCAAAAGTATATTTTCGTCGCTCCTGATCATTTTCAAAAAGGTTATTGCGAGATTTTGTGTACCGACGATATTTAACCAATCTAAAAATAACCATTTTTATTTGCTAAAAAACATCTAACCATGAACGGACTTATTAAATTTAGTGTGCGATTTAAATTCTACCACGGAATTTTATTATTATGACAATGTTATATTATTACTCTGAGTCAAAAGAGTTTGGGGTGTGAGCTGAGGTACTGCTATTCTCTCCCCTAATTTATCCTCGCCGTCTAAATCACATAATTTAGTAAAACTTTCATGTTCGTCGAAATTCTTGGACCCCATTTTGTCAATATTTTTATTATCGTTTTGATTTTCGATGGGAGTAAAAATTTCATTGTCTGATTCGGCTAAGTTGGCGAGGCGGGTATACTCGAAAAAAGACTTGATTGATATTTTTTTAAAGAAATTTTTGTATTGTCATATTTACGGTCGTGTAATGATTAATATTTTGGCGTCTAACGATGATTTTTTTTTATTACACTACTACAATTAATAAAATAAAAATGTTATTATATTCTGAATGGGGAAAAAAAGAAAATAAATAGAATATATGCAAATAGTAGTTAACCTTAACCAATAACTTCAAGAAATTCAACCCTGGGGTTTGCAGTGCCAAAGATTCATTTTGACAGAGACATAGCTTCTTATTTTCGTCGCAATATTCCATCAAATTTATCAAGAAGCATAGAACCTTGGATTAATATTATTATTTTTTTCGTGGAGAGTATTTTAAATAAAATATTTAATGTCATTTTAAATTATTAGGTTTTATTTCTTTTTAGCCCTTTCTTCTTACTTCCGAATCATAAAAATGTTCTAGCCCTGCACTTAACATATGTTTATCAAGTCCAGCCCGATTAGATAAGAGAATTATCGGATTGTTGAAAAAGTTTGATATATCAAAGAGGAAAGCGGAAAAGGATAAGGCGTTAAAAAAGGAAATAATTTTTTTTTAAAATCCTGCCGAGGTTGGAGACTGACTTGAACTTTAGTTAGATCGGTTTACCCTGTGTTTATAGTTAGTGTTTCGCGGCGAAGTATATAAGATATGATATAAATATAATAATTAACATTAGTTTTTATATACTTCGCCCCCGGATTAGCGCTAATTGTAAATGCAGGGTTAAGCAGAGCAGAGCTCTATGAAATACTAACTATATACAGTTGAAGAAGAAAAAAACGTACCAATACAATCAAATCAAATATCTTATCGTTCAATTTTTCGCCCTTAATCGCTAAAACGAGACATACGAGATCGGCGAAAAGTTTGTAATCAGTCGAAGGCAAGTTTAAGGAATTGAATACGATCTTTTTACAGCCAGTCTCTGTATAAAAAATAATAGAATATTGAATATGTAAAAGCATAAATATAAATTGCATGACAAAGATACTGTAATGAGTTTGAAATAGAACCAGAACTCTCGGAACTTGATAAATTGTAAGAACCTCAATCAGAACATTCTCTTTAAGGTTTATAGGGATCAGAAAACTCGTTAATATGTTCAGGAAATCGAAAACAGTTCCAACATAGGTAAAACTATATATTATATCATTGTTTAAAAATATTGGGCCATTCAAATTAGAAAGTTCTGGAGAGTTTAAATTTTTCTATTTGTTTTACTTATTAACAGAGTTTTGGATAGAAACAGAAACCCGATCGAATTTAAGAATATACATTATAACCGAAAAACTATTTTTCAAGTTAATACTGCATATTTTCTTAAATACTCAAAAGTTACTTCTTTTTTTTCTAGCTTCCGATCCAAGTTAAGGAAATAAAATAAGTTTCTCCATTCAACTCTACCAATCTGACAAAATGACAACGATAAGATGCTATTTTAAATATTTTTAATTCAATTACAACTCTATCTAACAAGTCACGAATAAAAGTCAAAAAAAAATGAAATACCATTCTCGTGGGTCAAATTAATCATAAGCCTCAATACGCCTAGCAATAGATTCAAATGAGATGTCTTATCATAAATCGTGTCATTTTGAGATATTTTGATAGGGGAGGCTTGGTAATGAAATTCTATTAAGGGTTGTTTAAAGGTATATTCTTCCGATTCTACGATGACCTATATGTAATTAGATAATTTATAAATTATTTAAAATTTTTAGACGGAAAACTTTAAAAAAAATATATATTCTTTATACCTTTGGGTTGAGCGGAATCGTTATCAAATTTTGAATGCAATGTTTGATGATACTATTTTTAAAAAAATTATCAAAAATTGAAATAATTCTTTATTAAATAAAGAAGGATGATAAAAAATAAATAGATTAGAATTAGATGGGCCATATACATGTAAATTTATGCGTCGCATGATTGAACCCTATTTCATTTTCGAGAAGTGCAGTTAAAACTTGGTATGTAACATTAACATTTCCTATACGGTTTTGAAAAATTGTACAATTTGAAGACAAAAAAATAAAATCACTAAAAATCACCCCAATGAAAAATAAAGTAAAAAAACGCTCTAAATTACATTAAAATAAAGATAAAACATAAAGGGTTTAAACAGGTTCAGCAAAATTAAATAGATTTGGTTCGCACCTTTTGGCGAATAGGTATAAAGGTTCGATTACGGTTAATGAAATTATCAGTTGGGTTCAGGTTAGCTCCCTCAGATTATAATATAGGATTGTATACAATTATATTTACCAGAGTAGTGTTCGCATGAACTCGTCCTTATAATTCAATAAATAATTTTGATTGTCTTTGTCCATAAATATGAGCTTTATTATAAAAATTTTTTTGAAGACAGAAAAAATTATATAAATCATCCTCAGGAAATAGAAATTAAATACTTTTTTAGATATAATTCCACACCTACCCTTCAATTTTTTAAATTAATATATCAAAACTAGATTTTTTTTTTTGTATAATAAAACAATTTATTTATTACCTTTAGTCATTAAACATTTTAAAAAATTAACACTAAATTTAACTATACCATTTAACTCCCTTAAAATAGGGCAATATAATATAGGTTATACGTTTTCTAGCACCAATATCAAAACGGATAACCGTTTAAGCTTATTTTCGATTAAGTACTCGTCGGCGACCGTGGCTGTATTGAATGATACCAGTTGTTCATAATTTTCCATGGCTAATATATTCATAATTTTGTATAAAATTAAATACAACGCGAATTTCAAATTTTCTCGGATAAATGTGATATAGTTATTTACATTTACTTAAAAATGACATGAGAGTCTCATATAAATAAAGAAATAAACGAAAATCTTATAAAAATAAAAGATTTAGAGAATTTCTATCTTGTCCAGTTTTTTTAAACTTTTTTTGTATTCTTTTATGAATTCCGACAGAAGATCTCATTTTATAGAATCAAATTTTAAACTAGTTTGAATGATGATGTCGATTCCTTTGTGCTCGCGCATGCATTGCCTGAAATCGGAATTACATTTTTGGTAGCAACTAAGGTTAATAAGCGTTTCTAACGATAATCTTCGCACCTAAATTCACGAGAATGAAAATCAATTTAAATAAAAAAAATTATTCAAAGGATTTTATTGGTAAACGGAAGATGATTTTAAAAAAACAGGAGGGGTAAGGATTGGCATAAGAGGATGTTTACATCTAAGAATGCGCGAGGGTCGGATAGATAGGCAGCTTTAAGTTCCCTGGCGTTATCTTCCAAACCCGATTCGCTAGTTCCCTGCAACGCCGAGGTATGGCTGTTATTATTGACTTGATCTTTAAACAAAGCGTCGAGCAGCAAAGTGATCTTAGCGGCGTTTTTGGTGGACAGTGCATTATTAGTTTTGTCCTTGTTGGGTGACGCAGAAATATCCCGAGAATTATTGCAGCAGTGTATGAGTAAAGATAAGGTGGAAGGATCAATTTCAGAATGCATTTTTTTATCGAGAGTCAGGGAAAATACCAGGGCGGTGGTGCATTGAAAAAGATTCTAATGATAAACGAATGTTATATTCAATATATCATATAAATACAGGGTCGCGCTGTTTGGCAATAAAATATCTATTGATACTTTATGACATTTAATTAGCTAGAATCGAAACGAAATAAAGTTACTAAGCTGTTAAAAAAATAATCATCATCATTTTCTGCAAAAAAAGAATAAAATGATTACGAACCGATTCGGTAAATGCATCGTTGAGAGAAGAGAATACGGATAAAAATAAGCCTTGCGCTCTCAAATGAGTTCTGAAAGGATTGGATAAGCATTTGTTAGCGATACCTAAAATACTATTTTAATAATATAATATCGAAATTAGATTTAGTTCACGGTGAAAATGTAAAAAATATATGTTTACAATATGCCCATTAAAAAATGACTCTTTTAAAACAAATCGAATATAAATTAATATTCGTTATTCATACAAATAATATAATTTACTATTCCTATTAGATTAGCATCTAATATTTTTTTTTAAAGTAATGTTAAATTCGTAGACATATTGGTCTATTGCATACCTTTTCCTTCTCTTTCATTTTTGCAAACAAAACTAAAAGAAAACATCAAACCTTAAACATCTCATAGCCAATGTATTGATTCCGGGCCTGAGGCCAGCAAGTAGATATTCGACGTCGTCGTTAAAATCTTGAACCTCGCCGCACTCGTGGCATTGATAAGCTTGTTTAACGTCCCGAACCAATTTCGCGTTATTACTGGGTTCGTGATTTGTTATCTAAAAAATGTAATGAGGTGATATTTACTACAATTGAAGAATATTCAAACAAACAAAAAGAATGCTCACGATTTTATTGATAAATAAAGGTTTAATAAGAAATAAATAAAAAAATTTGCATTGTTACGCCCGCTTAAAAAAAATATATCGACTAAAAATATAATTAACTATTGAAAATCTCTTAATTTAAGTAATGTAGTTTCGGGTAGTTTTACAGTAATTTTTTTATAAGCGATCTCAAAAGATATATATATAAATTTCAATTATTGATAACATAATATCATATTTTTTTTCTTTTCTGACTTCTACGCCGCGTTTAAATGTGGTCTCTTTAGTCTGAAAATTATTGTTATCGCATTCATGCTCGTCCTCCTCTTCAAAGTCGGGTTTGTAAAGCGATGTAATTTTCTAAAAATTTTTTAAAAAAATTTCTTTTAATTGAATGAAATATATTTAAAATTAAAAACAGTTAATCGAAAAGTACGGAGTATGGGCTAGGGTTAATATTTGAAAAATTCTAATCATTTTTGTTAATAACTTGCCAAATTTGACAGGACATATGATTATAAGACTTATATATCCTGAGATCTTTCATGTTGAAATAATCGATTCTGAGTGAATGATTAAAAAATGAGATTTCAAATCAAAATATATAGAGGATGATCTATTTGAATTTAATGAAATCAATTATGGTTAGTACGGAATTTTTTTTAGACTTGCGTAATATTTTTCTGATTGAAAAATTGAGTTAGCCGTTATTAAAAATCGTCTCAAATCGGCTTACCAACATTACCCAATACATATTTTACACCTAATTTCAAAAATAATAATAACAAAACAAATATAAAAGGGACCAAAAATTGTTATGTATTTATTCGTAATTGTAATTATTTTAAAAAAAATCGAATTATTAATAAAAGGAAAAGGTTGTAAAATGATATTTTTTTGAGCAAGAAAAGGTTTTAAAAAATATTAAACCAGTCCACAGTCAGACAAAAATTAGCGGTATCTTTAAATAAGATAATTAACTTTTAAGGGAAAAATTTATACTTCGCGATAAAAATGCAGATAATATCGCCATGTCCATGAGAAACGAAAAATTTCAGTGTATTTTTATACGTTGTCCAAAGTTTAAGTTAGTTAAAAAATTATTTGCACAGAAAATTATTCGTTCACAAATAAGTATTAATATGAATATCGGATTGGTTCTCTATGAATATAGGATCGAATCTGTATTTGTGGATCGGCACCCTATTATATTTAAGCCTGGGCCGGGCTTGGGTTTTTGAAAATTTTTTCAAAATTAAAATTTATTATATTTAATTGCTAATTTCAAAATATTGCAATTTTTTTTCTTCTAATAATAACAAATTTCAGGTTGTAAACAAAATGATTGCCTAAATACATTCGAATAATATTTATTTACATTAAATTTTTGAATATGGACTTGAGAAAATTTTTTAAAACTTAATATGGGCTTAAGAATATATTTTTTTAATTTTAAATATGGGCCGGGCCCGATTTGAGACTAAAAATTTCTTTTACTATCGGCAATGTTTATTTACCTTTTAAATTCTGAGAAATTTGTTTTTGCTAAAAAAGACTTTGTAAATTCCAATAATTTATATTTTTTAGAAAAAATACTGCATTCGTATGAATTAGTAACATTTTTAATTTTTAATTTTAAAATTGGGTATTATATTTTTAAAAATCGATAACTAAAAAATATTAAACAAAAAAAATTAGGTTATAATTTCTTCCATTAAATCGCGTTTTTCCTTAAAATCTACGGTACAATTTAAGATCCAAATTTTCGCCGAAATATGTAACCCTCGGGATTTAGCGAATACATGTCCAAACCTTTCTGCCATCTAGGAATAATCCCTCCAAGCTTGCGTAATATTTTTTTGGCTAAAATATTGAGTTAACCGTTTTTAAAAATCAATTAACAATACAATCAGTATGTTTAGAAAAACTCATTACGGAAGCGAAGCAGCTAACCCTGCATTCGCAGTTAGCGCAAATTCGCGGCGGAGAATATAAAAAAAAGCATATTCTGTATAATTCGCTCTAACTTTGAATGAGGGGTAAGGCTGTGTCCTAGATCGGTTTAATACTTAATAGCCGAAAAAGCTAAAATAAATATAAAAACATAACCGAAATAAAGTATATTTAAAGCCATAAAAGTCAATTTTTTTTTGTATGTGTCTTAATTGTTCAAAATTTTTATTTTAGATCTAAATAGAGAGAAAATGGAATAGCAAATAACATAATTATAGAATAAAGATGTTATTCTGATTACCAATTTGAAATATATACAATATATAATATATATTTTTGTAATAAATTTAATTTCTATGCACAAATAAACCTAATTTTGTTTATTTTAATATAAAAATGTATACATTACCATATCTTGATATAATAATAATAAAATAAGTAATTTAGCAACCAATCTCAGTTGATTAACTTATAATATATACAAATTAAAACCACTTTATCCTAAGAGCTCACCTAGTCCAGTATTGTTAATGTCTGTCTAGCAATCCGAGGTTTAGGATTCATATCTTGCACGGTAAAATTTTTTCACGTATTTATAACAATACGGGAACTATAATTTTTTAAAATTTAATTAGTGATGTATACTAGTTAGATTCATTGGAGATATATTTTTAAAAAAATTCACTATAATTAGTTACTTTTGAATTTGAAAAAGAATGCAGACACTATGAGTGGCATTTTTTCAAATATAACGACCGAATTAACTAGTTACTCTTCAAGTTACTTATTAAATATATTTCATTCATTATATTTATAAAATATACAAATTAAAATTTTATTTGTAATTATATCGTCTGCTTTATATGTAATTATTTTATTTTTGACTGTAATAACGAATACTCTTAATTCTCTCTCAGAGACGTTTTTATATTAAGTTAAAATAGAGGAATAATTTTCACGGAACTGTTACCACCTAAGCTGATTCACAAGAAAGATCTAAATAAAATATATTAAAATCGCCATGATAAAGATTGGCTTCAAAATTCATTTAGGGAAATTAATGATGACACAATTCTATAAGTATATGAGGATGAATATTTCAATCTTTAATTATATTCTATATGATTGCATCATTTATGTAACACATATCTATCTACAAGATAACAATATGCAATCAAGAAAGATTGGCTATTACTTTACGGCAGGGTTGTGCATTTGACCGAATGTGGTCAAATTCAAATATATGTTTTTTTAAGTTAATATTAAATTTATTTTAAATATAATAGTAAAATGAATCTATAATAATAATTTTTTGAATTCATTGTCATTCAATAGCTAACGTGTAGCTAGCAGAGTTTTGTTCTGATTCATATTCAATATTAATATTTTCTTTAATATTTTTTAATCAATTTTCCTGATGTCTTAGATTTTCAATCGATTTCTATTTTCATAAGAATATTAACCCAAATCGACCTATTTCTTTCTAAAGATGAAGTAGAACTAGGAATTGTTAGTCACTTAGGGTGGACAAAGTTTAATCTATTAACTGGAGGTCGGAATTGATTGTTTCTGGAAATTACTAATGTCCACATAATTTGCTATATTAAATATACTGTTTTTGCTTCTGAAATTAATTATATCACTTAATTTGGTCATCACTACCTTGTAAAATAGCTAATTCTTGAATATATCACATACTTGTGAGTTCTCCTCTTGATATTGTGGACACAAAAAATAAGCAAACATTGTAGTCACATGTATTTACATCGTTTTTCCCTTTTTTAAACCTATTTTTCCTTTAAATTTTTTAGAGTATTTGACCGTATTTGACAGGTCAAATACTCCTCCGGTCAATTCGGTCAATTGACTGAATTTGACTGGTCAATTGACCGACTTGCCAACCCTGCTTACGGTATATTTGAAAATTTGCTCATATAAATATAATTTAAACTGATATGTCCAATCGTTATTTAGAAAATTAAATGAGTGGCATGCTTAAAATCTTATTACTTTTTTGGTTATTTAGCCGATACTTAAAAGCCGGCTATTAAGTATTATCAGTTTGAAATTTTTTTCAAAAAAAAATATTCTAATTTAAAAATTAATGCGAGTTTTTATATTTTGAAAGAATTTTTTAAAAAAATAGATAAATTTATTTATCTCTAAAATTTACGAGAAAAAAAAACTGCAATGGTCGAATTTTAATATAATTTAATTATTCTAAAATATAACAATTTAAAAAAAAAACAAAATGTTCCAGAATTATAAAAAAAAATATTCCAGCTACCAGCAACACAAGAATCTCCAGGCGATGCACTGAATTATCATAAAATAACAAGATATTTTATCATTGTTAAAGATACGTGGTAATGAAAAGTTGTAGCTCGTTTTGTATTATTCAAAAAAATATATATATAATGAAAGATCTGCAAATAAAATATACAGATAATGGTGAATGAAATTCACAATTTTTTTTATTTTCAGGCAAGATCTGGGGTTTTCACTAATTTTCCTCTAAAGTTTCCATAAAATTTTTACACCTTAGTGCCTTGACTTATCTGATTTTTTTCATATTTTTTTGCACCGTACAGAAATTGTTTTATTAATAAAATGATTTTTAATCAAAGGAGGAGACAAATTAGAAAAAATATGGCCTCTTTAATAAATTTTTTAAAATAGAAAGAAAATAAAAAAAGAAACTTTTTTTGATATCCCACCAGACTTTTATAAATGATTTTAAAAAATAAATGCAAGAACTCTCAAACTAAAAGACTACATATACGTTAGGTAAGCCGAAAATAATTCCCCGGAAAAAATATCCCCTGGAAGATAATTCCCTGGAAAAAAAATCCTTGGAAAATAATTACCCGGAAAAATATTCCCCTGGAAAAAAATTCCCATAGAAAATAATTCACCGGAAAATATTTTCCCGGAAATAAATTCCCCATTTTTTGGATTTTAAATTAAATATGGGGAAAAATTAATCCCCGGATAAAAAACCGGAAAAAATTCTTCGAATAATTTTTTTTAAATTATCAAAAAATAATCCCGTCGTTAAAATAACGAAAATATTTCTAAAAAATGATGTTAGTATTTTCTGAACGTTGAGAGTAGGGGTGACCAATACCAATATAATATTGGTTTACAATACCAATACCAATATAAACCAATATATATTTAAATATTGGTATTGCTTTTACAACCAATACCAATACCAATTACCTAAATATATTGGTTTTGATATATTGTTTAAATACAATTTTAACCAATACCAATATTAAAAATATCATAATTATTTGGGTTTATCGTGGATAATTATATCGTGGTATTTTTTTTACTTTCATTGCAAAAACTGATTACATCTGTTATTTCTTCCAAATACTACTGTGATATCAATATTTCTGTTA